ATGAAAATTATTGACTAGTGCTATTGGGGGAATAGGCGAATTTGTTTGATAGTTGAACAGTTCGTATGAAATAGCTTGTGAGATATCTGCTTTCAAATGGCCGTTTAATTGTGATCAATATCAGAGCAACATGCCTTCGCGGGTTCTTCAACAATTCTGAAATTAAAGACTGATTCGATGTGAACTGTCTGTCGCTGTCTACTTCACTTACACATTACACATCATTGGCTGGACTGATTTTGGCGCATTGAAATAATTAGTTCAGAGGGGCGAGGTAAGGGGGGGGGGAGAGCAGGGATCCTCAAGTGTCAGGGTTTCCAAGCTTATGCGAGGGGTGAAGCTAACCTCGTAGATGCTCGCTCGATTCCCCGGATCTCAGAGGACACTGAACCAAAACCTACTTTGAAATGATGTTTCAGAACGAGAATTTGATAAACTTTCAGTGCTCACTTGCAAATATGAATGTCTAGTCTAGCTGCTAATATTGTTGCAATATAATGTAGCATAATCGGCGAAAATCTTCCGCTGACTGCCTCCCTATCGATCATATGAGAAATACTCATAATAATCAACGTCTTCTCCTACATAATCCAGATCTCTCGAAACTTTTGATAAATTTGCATTTCGAAACTTTTATCGTGAAAGATTCTTTTCGAACGAAACTATCAAAATTCAGAATCCGAAATCACAGTTTTGAGTGGTTCTCAATTGATCATCAATGTTGCATTGCATTCTCACTGAAACTTCAATGCAGTCAGTTGTGAAGACGATACATAGAGCATAGCCGATCGCACTAGGTTCGTGATAAAATTTTCAATGAGTGATCATCAAAAACAAGCACAACGTCTCATTTTTTCAGTGTTGATCTCGAGTTATTGCTTGTGTTTTATTGCTGTGGACAGATATCGTAACATAGTGACGCCAACGAAAGAGCCATGGACAGTTCGTCATGCACAGATTCTTATGGCCACATCATGGCTTCTTTCGGTTACCGTTTCATCACCACTTTTCATCACACATCGTCTCCAACCGTTAGCGCTCGAAAACGCAACTCTGTGTGGACATGTAAGATAGTGCCTTATGTTGGCCTTCATTACGTACAATTCAGACCACTCGTTAGGCAAATGTTGATAATGACACTCCTTGTTGACAATGCAAGGAGCAACTCGTTGCATTGTCAGAAATCGAACGAACTGAATCCGTTAAGAACGTGAAGTTTTATCATTTGCGGTCGTTTTTTAACGTGTGCAGAAGTGAAATGGCATGGTCAATTGAATGACTTAAGCTAAACATTGTTATTGTTACAGTTTTGTGGTGAATATGGTTGGCCGGGTGATAATCGGTTGAAGTTGCTTTATGGAACGATGTTATTAA